GCGAAATATCAAGAAGAACTGAATAACTCCCTGAGATGCCCAAGTCATCACCTTAAATGCATCTCTGGCTAAAGACAGAAGGAATGGTGAGGGGGCACCTATGAGAGGTTAACAGGAAAAGCAGCTTCAACTACAGCAGGGTTGGGTGTGTTATGCAGATTTCATCCTTCTTGAAGACTGTCCTTCAACAGGACTCTGCTGTGATTTAGAGCCATCCTTCCTTTTCTGGTAAAGAGACAGAGACACCTTTACAAATGGAGACTTCCTTTATCAGTGTAAATGTCCCTCAGAAGAATAACTTCTATTCTGTCTTCAGAGTTTCTCCTGTGTCTATCTCTCAAAAACAGAATCAACTGGTAACAATCTCTCTGCCAGAGAGCCCTATTCTGGAGTGACACATTGTGTTACCTTTCATTCTATTTTTGTATTTTTGAAATATTCTTAAAAATCTACAGGAAATTAAAAACAATACAAAAAAACACTATAGAAAGCAGTTGACAGAGGGGCCAGAGCTGTTGCTAGAAAAACAGCTCCTCTTGGCTCTGAGCCTCAGTGGAGGCTGTGGGAGGAGAGGACAGAACACAGAGAACAGGGGTCTAGGAGTCAGAACACTGCGCTTCAGAAACCAGGTCGGCCACCTGCAAGTCACATGACCCTAAGCCCATCTTGTGCCCTCCTGGGCCTCTGGGTCTTTATCTGTGAAAATACCCTCCTTTCCTCCCTTGGAGGAATCCTGGGACACCTAAACGAGCTACAACAGCTCAGACTGCTCTGAAACCACCATAAAAACAAGGGTTTTTCATCACTTTTATTATTAGAAGTCCTGGTAAGAGATTTACTCTATTCTTAATGGCAGAGGCTAGTTTCACAAAGGGCTTAGAAAATTCATTGCTGCTCACAGGCATCATAGTGGAATAAGAACTCTTGAGAAAAGTCATGTGTAAAGCTAAATTTTCTGGAATGTAATTAAAGTTTCACTTCTAAGCAGATAGCTAACATTTTTAACCATTATGAATGCAATCTTTTAAAAAAAGTCTCTACTTCCCTGACTACATAAAGAAAATGGATTGAGGTGGGTGGAGGAAACAAGTAAAATAGGTAAGGGAAGTTAAGAGGTACAAACTCCAAATTATAAGATAAGTAAAAGGGGATCAGGGGCAAAAAATAGACATATAAAATTTTAAAAAATAAATAAATCACAGGATTATAATATACAACATAGGAAATATATTCAATAATATTGAAGTAACTTTGCATGGTGACAGTTGGTAACTAAACTTATCATGTACTGTATAAAATATTAAATCACTAATGATGTATACCAGAAACTAATATAACTTTGTAAGCCAATCATACTTCAATTTAAAAACTTCTTTTAATTTTACATTAAAAACTTCCATACACTTAGAAAAAGAAAAGAAGATGGATATAAAACCCTCATTTATAACTCAAGGTCATCACTGTGGATATTACTAACACCTAATGGCTAATACTATGCTCTCAAGACCTAGCAGGGCGCACACAGCAGGTCTGCTCTGCAGGTCCCTCTCTGCTTGACTCAATGCCCCCTCCTCCTCTCCCTTGCTGTGTGGTCCTCAGTGGTTGCTCTCAGATCACAGTATCTCTGCCACCAGCAGCCACTCCTCAGCCTCCTGGGTTGAGCAAAGTGAGGGACACATGGAAGAAAGGGTTGGGAAATAAAGGCAAAGCCCACTCAGCTCCTAGGGAACCAGCTGTGAGTCCCGGCACAGAGCCCACTATGGACAGAGGATTCTGTTTCCTTCCTGCCCATCAGCTGAGCTCCAAAGGGAAGGTTTACACACACATGGGCTTCCCACGGCCTCCACCTGGACCAGAGACCACAAGCAAAAGTGGATTCAGACAAAGGCCAAGTGACCGGACAAGGCTGAGCCACTTCTAAGGGTCCTGGGAAAAGGACATAACTCCCGGCAACACCTCCCCTCTCAGGGGAAGGGACTGGGTGAACCCACTCTGGCTCTCTGAGGTCACCCCACATACATACCAGCAATGGTGACCTCACCTCTCAGAGAGAAGCCCTGATGACCTGGGGAGGTGGTCTCTGTGACTCAGGACTAGGCAGAGGTTTCAGGCTCCTCCTCTCCACCCTGAGGGCCCTGGGCAGGCAGAGACCTGTCCTCCCCACCCGAAGTACCCGTGGAGGTGCACACAGGGGCCAGGTGTGCTGGGAACTCTCCAGCTGCTCTGTTCTAATTAGAGGTGACCGGCAAGTGCTCCGTAGCCTGGTACTTGTTTCTCTGAGAGGTAGAGATACTCCTCAGTTCTCACAGGACAGCCCATGGAATTCTCCAGGCCAGAATACTGGAGTGGGTAGCCTTTCCCTTCTCCAGGGGATCTTCCCAACCCAGGGATCGAACCCAGGTCTCCCTCATTGCAGGCAGATTCCTTACCAGCTGAGCTATCAGGGAAGCCCTTCTCACAGGACAGAGGTTTTCATATCTCGAAATCCTAAAACCCTAAAAGCCTCACCCTGGACTGATGTCCCCATGCTTTTTCCCGCTGGTGCCACCAGGAGTACCTGGGAGGCCCCGCTCGTGCTGTGGGTGGTAAGAGCACACTGCTTGGGATCATGGAGGATGCACAGGGCGTTCTGTGCACCTGAGGGATTAAAAGAGGGCCGGAGATGAAAAGGAAACATGTTTGTGTTTTAGAAAATCCTCGGCTGAGTTTAGATCTTCCACCATCTAAAATATAAAGAACAACAATCACTATAGATTGATCACAACACGGGAAGTTGCTTCATAAAATCAATTATTTAACTAACTAGCACTGCTATGAGTACTAGTGGTACTACCACACAGATGAGCCCTTAAATTTACGTCTTCTACTCCCCACTTCTCTGCCATGACCACCTAGTGACCAACCTCCAGAAAGGGCCCAGGGATCTACCAGTTGCAACTTACGCAGCCCCAGACCTGGCCTTCCTGGATCCACAGCAGGAAGTATTACTGGGGCTGGAAAACTTTGAAATCAACACTCCCAGCACCACGGTGGGGAGGATTCTGTCTCAGGAAGAACCCCAGATCCTGTGGCCTCTCCCTCTGTGTCTGCTTCTCCCATGAGCTGCCACAGCCAAGATCCAGGACTCATATTAGAATGGGATCCATCCAAGGCTTAGTGACCCCACTCAAGGGGCTAACAGCCCAGGACAGCAAGAAAAACCAGCAGCTTAGTTCAAACCCAGCCACATGGGCTATGCTTTGAGACCCACTTGACTTTAAGGCTCTTTAGCATCTGGTACCAAAGGGAAACTAGAGAACCAGGGACAGTAGAGAAAGACCTGCTCCTGATATGATCCAACATTAAGCCCTGAGGCCACTCATCCAACCAGGCACCTAGGATGAGTCACAGGCACACACCAAGGCCGCAGGGTTTCCTGATAAGCAGAATTCATGAGAGCTCTGCTGGGTGAGGTCAGGAAATCCTGCACAAACTGGCCACAGCAGCTTGCCACCTGTGTATTTCATACAGAGACTAACTGTGACTATGTGGAAATACCATCACTGGGACAGCTGCACACGGGACAAAGAAGGGCTGGGACAGCCTGAAGGGCTCCTGCTCCCTCTCCCACCCCCTGCCCTTCACAAGGCACTGAAGCATCTAGGTGGTCAGAGCCCTGTCTAACGTGGCACTCTGCCCCATATACCTGTCCCACCCTCTGGCACAATGGCCAATCCTCTTCTGACATCAGTGAGAACTCCATCCCCCAGGACCACCCAGTCCCCTGGGAGCTGACAGATTTCCCCATTCAGTCACCTGTGTACTGACAGATTCTCTGTCTCTCCAGTTGTGTGGGGCAGACCACCTTCCCAGCTGCACACTGCCTGCAGTACCCTTCAGTACAACACAGCCTTTAAACAAGAGTCACCTTGTAAACCACCTGTAAACCACCTGGCTCACCCACCTCACTCCAGCACAATGGACTGAGGACAACTCACCACCTTCTCCACCTAAAACCCCCCTTTCACAGCAGCTGCATCTTCCATCCTCCTGCTCTCACACACTCACAGGCCGCCCGTGTCCCTAAGGCAGCACGGAGGGACCACGGAGAGCACGAGCCACCCAGGGGGTCTGCAGCAGACCTCCAGCAGGCTCAGCCAGAACAGGGGGCTGCCGGCACTGTGTCCCCAGGGGGACTGTCTCACTGGGGGGTCTTGACACAGGCCCTTCAGGGTCACGGAGGTCACTGAGCTCACAGCTTTCTGCCTCTGGTTTGCCCTGCATAACCCCTCCTACACCCTCTGCCAATGCCAGGATACCAGGATCCCCCTTCAACCAGGAATCCACCCCCACAGCCAGATCGGAAACCAGCGTGGAGGGTGCAGAGAATTCACGGTGAAGCTGGAGCTCCTCCCCACGGGGGCTTTGACTCACAGTGCCAGCCCACGGGGAAGGGGGCAGCCTGGGGAAAGGTGTGCTCTTAGGAGTTCTGGGCGGCTACAGCCCAGATGCAGGGCCCTGGGTTCTGTTCCCCTGCAAGAGGCGAGGCGATGGTATCTTCTTAGAAAAGCATTTATCAGATGTGACCTGGTCAAGGTAACAATGTTTACCTTGTTAAATTATAACAAAAGTGCCATAAAATGTATGTTATTCTGGGCTCTTGTCCAAATTACCCTCCTCTAAATCACAGGGCACATATTGCCTGAGGCTGCTGGAATCTTCTGGTCAAAGATCAGTCAGCATTTATACTGAGCACCAGGAGCTTTCTAACATAATATAAAATGTCTTTTATTTCAAGGCCATCCTTCCACAACACTCTTTAATCAGTTAAAAGAAAAACAATAACCCCTGGTTGTCCAGTCCTTGCCATTCTAAAGATAAATACTTCTGAGCTCTATCATGTTTCCGTGAGGGTTTGTCCTCAGACCTTTGACTACTGGCCTCTCTCCCCACCCATCCCGTCCACCTCAGTACTGAGATACATACACCAAAAAGCAATGCACAGTATAAGAATCTTTTACCTCAAGAAACGTAAACAATCCCCAAATTAAATAGGATTTCCAGTAACACTTTACGATTGCTTTCATTAAGGAAGGCTCCTCTGTGTCCTTCTGGGCTCTCTTAACTTCCTGATCCCAGTACCTGCGACGAGAAACAGAGCACAGTGAAGAACAGCGTGTCCACCACAGGGAAACGGGGGAGGGGTGGAGTGGGAGATGGGCCTTCACTACAGGGCGCTCTGTGGGGCCCCATAGATGCTGGTAAACTGCTCACAGGGCTCCTGAAAGATGAGCGGTGCAGACTCTGAAGCACCAGAGAAACAGGCCTGGAGGGAAAAGTCCCAGATTCTGGAAACAATTTCCTGCCGAGATTTGCTGGACTCATAGGTCATGAGCAGCTCAGGAGGGCAGACATCGTCCTCCAGGGACCCCAACTCCAGGGACAGAGCTCGGCCTCCAGGGCCGTGGCTGCAGGGTCCCTCCACGTCCACAGATGCACAGGGAACACAGACTTCTCCAGCCTCCAAAGTGGGCTGAGCCTGGGGTCAGCCTGAGGTGGGTGAGCATTCAGTGTCAAGGGAGGAGACTCAGAAGAACCCAGAGGAAGGCAAAGCCTCCCCCACACCTTTAGCCCCATGTGTAAATTCTCACTCTTTCTCCCCTTCTCCCTGCTGCCTGTGCTCACCCTTGCAGCTCTTCTCCAAGGTGCTGGGAGCGATCTTCTGGAAGCACTGAGTACATGTCATCTGGTTCTAATTTCTGTTTGTGACCAATTTTAAACAAGGGGTTTAGCCACCTGTTAAACATTAAAAGGAGAGTGACATATATCCAAATTACACATCTCTAATTAGAAAGCTACAATCATGAACATTGTTTAAAAAAAAGTCTACATTTTAAAGGTATAAAGATGGGGGGGGGAATTAGACATGTGTTTACAAACACACATACATTCTAGGAGGTATAGGAAAGTCATGCTGGCTTATACATGATTTAAATTAATTAAAGCAGCCTGTTTGTGGCCTACTGAACATACATTGTACATCTGCTTTAATTATTAAGGAAAAAATATATCTGGAAATGAAAATAAAGTAACAGTGTTTCTGGAAAGCAGAATAGAGCTGAATGGCCATTGTGGGTAAGGCTGCAGATATGTTCCTGTATTACTGAGGGCTTAAATCTTCTGAACTGTATCAGATTCAAGGATACCTAGGTAGCGCTAGTGGTAAAGAACCCGTCTGCTAATGCAGGAGATGTAAGAGATGCTGATTTGATCCCTAGGTTGGGAAGATCCCCCGGAGAAGGAAATGACAACCCTCTCCAGTATTCATGCCTGGAAAAATCCCATGGACGGGGGAGTCTGGTGGGCTACAGTCCATGGGGTTGCAAAGAGTTGGATACGACTAAAATATCTGAGCACCAGTCATATTCAAAGCAGTTTCAACCCTGAGGTCAAGATCACCTTAGATCAGCTGTCAACACAGAGGGATTTTTACAGGGAATGATCTTATGAACACAACACCCTGAGTCTAACAGGCTCTGAACCCTGACCTCCTTACAGTCCTTTCAGACTCCCCTCAGCCAGAACACTCATGAGAGCCTCTTTCTGACCCCAACCTTCTGAAGACAACCTCAAGATAAGTAACACCTTCCCAACTAAAATGCACAGTTGATTCTTCTTATGGTCCTCCTTGGATCACTGCCTGGCAGATTCATTTATTTTAAAAAGTAACATTCAAACATCCAAAAGGACTGGAGTTTTACTGACTGTTGGATCTGTCACCATCAGCCTCAGTTGGGGAATAAATACAGCCTGCCAGACTTTCAGGGAACTCCACTAACACCTGACAACATCACCAAACTAGGTTTAATTCCTCCACACCCAGGCTTCTGTCCGGGGATATCAAGGTTGCCCCCACTGCCACCACACCCCTGTAAAGGCGTATGTGTTAGTCAAATCCCTGTTTCCTGGGGGTCCAACCAACTGTTCACTATGAGCCCTCCACCTACAGGCATGGCCGACTGTAAATAGTTACCATGCTTAACAGCTGTGGGAACAGGATCATACCAAACATGGAGGGGTCTGGCCATGCAGCAAGTATGGATGGACGGGTGCCACCATGAACCTAATTGTGACTCAGGAAAACCCAAAGACAGTGTGTGCACCCCTGCGAGATGTTTATTCCTCGAGGACCTTATGGCAAGGGCCACCCATGTTGGGCCATCAACTGTCTCCAAGAAAACTACCAGGGGACACTGGGCTATAGGTTCACACTCAGATCACGGTTACATTCAGATTTTAATTACATGCACACAACCTGTGAATCAAAGGGGGCCATTCATCTAGTCAGGAGGGGAGCTGGGCTGGTAATAGCAGTTGTCACTCTTATAGGATCCCTGGTGAGCCTAGCACAAGAAACAATTTATAATAATCTAAGTATAAAAAAAGTCAGTCAGAGACTGGCCTGGGTAAGAAGAGAAACCAATTCTAACCTTAGAATGATAAAATCTTACTGGAGCCTCTGACCCACATGACACTTGACCACTACAAAGCTCTTGATTACCTGCTGGCTGATCAAAGGGGGATTTGTGCCCCAGCAACCATTTCCTGTTGTTTCTATGTTAACACATGTGGTCATAAAGAAGAGAGTGCATCCCAACTGCCAGAGAAAGCCACTTGCAGACAAAGACAAATATCATATGGTATCACCTATACATGGAATCTTTAAAAAACAGTATAAATGAACTTACCTACCAAACAGAAATAGAGTTACAGATGTAGAAAATGAACTTATGGTTACCAGGGGGTAAGGGAAGAAGGGACAATTGGGAGACTGGGACTGGCATATATAGACTACTGTATTCCTGTCCAGCTCTTTGTGACCCCATGAACTGTAGCCCACTAAGCTCCTCTGTCCATGGGATTCCCCAGGCAAGAATACCAGAGTGGGTTGCCATTTCCTTCTCCAGGGGATCTTCCCAACCCACAGACCTAACCCAGGTCTCCTGCATTGCAACTGGATTCTCTACTGTCTGAGTCACCAGGCAAGCATATATAAAACAGGTAAGTAATAAGAACCTACTGCATAGCAGAGGGAACTCTATTCAATACTCTGTAATAGCCTTTATTTTTCTTTTTAAAAGAAAAAAATCTTTTTAAAAAAGTGGATATATGTATAATTGACTTTGCTGCACTCCTGAAACTAACACAACATTGTAAATCAGCTATACTCCAATAAAAAAAATAAAAATTTAATAGAGAGGCCACTTGGCTAAATACTCAGAACAAGAATAGCCTGACGGAACAAATTTGTGACAGTTTCAAAAGAAGGATTCCCAGCTTTCCTGGGCTTCTAAGGCCATTCTTAGAACCCCTACAGTTACTCTCCTTCTCTTGCTCTTTGCTCCATGATTCCTCAGTTGTCTCACTAGTTTTATCTCTTGGAGAACTGAGACAATGAAGTTGCAGATGGTCTTTACCCAGGGCTATGGAAAACTGGGACTCTAGCTTGGTAACAATCAGATTCATTTTGGTTGAATCAGGAAAAATTCTGCCCCTCTAACCCAACAACCCATGACAACGCCCATGCTCAGCAGGAAGCGGCACCAAAAGACCAACCTTTGCCCTTTAGAATACGCCAGGAACAAGGAGCAGTAAAAAGGAAAGGCTGTTGCCCCAAAATTATATCCCTGCCCCTTTCTCAAATGGAAACCAGTTGCTCTTATCTGAGTTTCAGACTCAACAATAAAAGGAAAGAGAAAAATGAGAACTGATTAGAACTAGCCAGGACCCAAATGGCAGAAGACCTAACCTCCAGTAGACACAGAGCATCGTTACACATTCACTGTAATATATTAGCTGCTAAATGACACACCCACCAGGACCACTACAGTTGACAATGGCTATGACAACAAAGTGAAGAGCTCATACAAGGACTACAAAGGAGTGTTGTCTTAATTTCAGGCCCAAATCACACCCTGTTCTTGCATAAGCCATGAATATTCCTTCCTCTCTTAACCTGATTCCCTGCCACTTCAACCCTCCTATACACATAGTGTCTCAGCCCAAATTGGGCTGAAAGGTTGATTTGCAAACTAAGTCTCCATTTCTCCATTCTTTGGTCATTGAGCTAAGATGCTTTACCAGTCTCACCATCAATTTACTTACTGGTCGTGGGAATCTGAGTGGAGAAAGAACCTCCACAGTCTTGATAAGGGGTCTCAGCCTGGGCTAGGATCCTGGCACAAGTCCAGGCAGCCAATTCCATGACAAGCACAGCAGTTACATACACAAGAAACATAGACTCCAGAACCAGACTGCCTGGCTTGAGATCCCACTCCACTGCTTACCAGCTGTATGATGGTAGGCAACTTACTCAACCTCTATGCTTCAGTGTCTCCAGGTGTGAAATAAGAGGCTCCTTTATCCCCAGCAGGAAAACTGGAAATGGGTGCCAACCAAAATCAAAGTCTTCACCTTCCATTTCTATCCACATACATTTTCAAAATCAACAAACAGAATGTGCTTTGAGAGTTTCTTGCCCTACCTGAAGTTAAGGAGACATTTGTCTATTTTGCTATTATTTATGGTAACTACACACATATTCTGGAGAAGGAAATGGCAACCCACTCCAGTATTCTTGCCTAGAGAATCTCGTGGACAGAGGAGACTGGTGGGCTGCTGTCCATAGGGTCGCACAGAGTCAGACATGACTGAAGTGAATAAGCATGCACGCATGCATTGGAGAAGGAAATGGCAACCCACTCCAGTATTCTTGCCTGGAGAATTCCAGGGACAGAGGAGCCTGGTGGGTAGCCATCTATGGGGTCGCACAGAGTCAGACACGACTGAAGTGACTTAGCAGCAGCAGCAGCAGCAAGCACACACATATTCCTTCTTCTAGGACCCTCTTTCCTTAAGGGTCATCAAATAGCCAAGAGATGTAGCCACATACACTGAATATACCACAAACAAAACAAGCATAGGAGCTGCCATCCCCCTGGGGATCCCCTAGGCTGCCCCATAAGAGAAGTATCAGAATTTGTGGGAACGATGAATGGGTTAGGGTCAAGAAACAAAAGACCTAATAATCACCCAAATGTGATTAAAGTCCAAAGGTTCAGGCCTGCCTTTCTGCAGTCCCAACTATTAGATGAAGACTTCATTTAAGAGCTTCAGCTCTCTGCAGCGTTTTTCATCTGTGTGTTTCCTCCCAGCTCAGGGACCCTTCAGTGGTTTCAGGACAATAGGACTTCTGGGCAGGACCACCTACATCAAGACCATGCACTGCTTCTCCAAGCTAAAGATCTGCATAAGACCCCACAGGTTTCAGGGACCCCATCCCCAGGGTTTGGTCCTCAAAGGTGGAAGTGGAGATATTTGCAATAGGGAAAGGGGCTGTGGTCAAATAGACACTCTGCTCCTGGCTGTGTGTCCCAGGAAAAAGCAAAAGGTTTTCCAGAATGGTGTTCCCATCCATTTCATAAAAAACAATTGTGTTTTGTACACACATGAAATTGACCACACAGGGAGGGTGGCAGGGAGAGAAAGAAAGACAGGGTCATAGATGGGGAAGGGAGGGAGCCCAGGGCAGCTGGAACTCAGATGTTCACCTAAGGAACATGGGGAAAGGTGGGGACATTATTGGAAGATGGCAAAGGTGCAGGACACTGATTAGATGAAGAAAGTTGTTCATAAGCTGCTTGTTTGGAGTAAAAGTTGCAGCTTATTTCAGAGCTGACAGTGAATTGCTGAGCATTTCTGAGGCAGCTGGATAAGGTGGACACCAGGTTCCTGGGTCCTCCTCCCAGCCCTACTGCCACCGGCCCCGGGCGCGCACCCTCTCCTTGTCCCTTGGTCCCCAACAGAAGCCAGCAGTGTCAGGCAGGTGCCCGCGGGGACTGTCACAGCTCAGACGGGGCGCTCACCAGACAAACAGGCGTGAGCAGAAGTTCGCCTTCTGCAGTGGGTTGGTCTTCACCTCCGGGGACACAGGCAGCATCTTGCCGGCCAAGGTGGACACAGACCAGGGTCGCCCTGCTTAGGTGGTGGTGGAACTCCTGCTGCTCCTGGAGGCGCCGGCGTGGATGCTAGAGACTGGCCGCCCCGCAGGTCCACTGGGCGGGAGCCTGAGAACACCTGCTTCTGAGAGTACAGCACCCTTTGTGCTCCAGGTCCCGCCTCCCAGGACTGAGCAGCCTCCAGAGTCTACCTTTGAGGCACCCGCTCTGTGCAGGTGCTGCCACAGGCATAGGATGGATGCAGCGTGCCACGTGTGGGGCTGCAGGACCAAGAGACACCCAGGTAGATGCTTTCAGAAGCCCCACGCAGGTGGGAGGCAAAGCTACCAGCTCTTTGATAAAGGCAGGCTGGCTGACTGCGGGGCACAACCAGCCCAGCTCCCAGGAGCACACCTGGCTGCAAACTCTGAGGAAGTTCCTGCTCTTCCAGGCACTCACCCAGGAGGTGGAGAAGGGAGGCTCATCCCTGCCCATCTCTGCTGCTCAGAGGCTCCCCCATGGGCTGCAGAGGAAACCAGAAGAAAGCTGGCAGGAGATAGCAGCCCACTCTCTGGGCATGCTGCCCTCCTCAGGACCAAACAAGGGCGCTGTGGGAAGGTCTCCAACTGGAATGGAGCAGGACCCTGGGGGGCCTTCCTGAGATAGACCCTACTCCCACCCCATGCCCTCTGCCTGTCTCTTGTTTGTAGAAAAGCTTCAATCTCCCAGGCCTCCTCCGAGTCACAAAAGGCTGGCTCAAGGATGATTGGAAGAATGTGAATATGTAATAACAAAAAACTTTATCAATAGATTAGCTATACAGCAGTCACAGAGTCTTTATAACAGGATCTGATGCACATTCCTGAGTTGTTTTGCAGATGGTAAAAAGTCCACCAGGTGGAAGAAGTTAACAGCATGACAACCAGGATAAACTGGAACCTAAGGATTTATGATGATAACCCCTGTTACATTACCCTGCTCCCCAACATCAATTGGAATACAGTGTGAGCTAATCAAGTACCCTGGACTCTCCCTCAGTTTGCCTTTAAAATCCTCCTCCACTGGGGAGTTCCAGCCTTCTAAGCATGAGCATCCTGTACTCCTTGCTTAACTCTTGGAAATAAACCTTTCTCTGCTCAGAACTCCAACTTTTCAGTTTGTTTTACCTCAATGTACATTGGGCACAAGACCCTGGTTTGGCCAATACAAACCAGGCACCAAACATTTGACAATGGCCAACAACAGGGTTTAGCACAGATTATGGTTATAGAGCTGCAGGATTTAGAGAAATGCAACAGAAGATTAGAAAACTTCAAATGATTTCAAAAGATGAATTCATGCTGTCTTTGGAGATCTCCACAACTTGTGAGATGTCTTGCATCTCACAGGTTACATTGTGGGGGGAATCCTGGGAGCTTTTTGCTGCCCTCCTACATGGGGAATTTGGGACAGAGAGATTGCCTTATGATTTCTTTCATCATGAGCTCAGGGCCGGCCTAGCAGAGTAACAGTAGCATATGTTACAAAATACAGGTTATGTGCATTTGTGGGGAACTTACTTCACTTTTAACCCAAATAATGCCCTATTCAAGGAGGTGTTATCTCTATTTTACAGATGAGAAAAATGAGGCTCAAAGACAGCACTTCTCCAGGGTCTTCCAATCAGTAAATGATGAATCTTGATTTGTATTCAAGTCCAAGTCCAGAATGACTGTCCCCACTGGTGGATGGTCAGTGTGTGAAAAGTGCCAAGAATATGCCATCTGAATGAATCAATGACTGTAGGACTGAGAACAAAATCTTGGGCCCTCACACATAAGTGATAAGTTATATGTGTGGCCATCTTACCAGCTCAGAGGCTTTTGTTCCCTTTCATTCTAAATGAAGAAATTTCAAAGTTTGTGGGGCTTATAACAAGATCACCTTATTATTCTTTGATAATTTCCCATGTACCTTGGCTAAAATGGTGTTATTAATAATGACTTTTAGCTTCAGTTATGCAAGATGAATATGTCCTGCAGAACTGGGGTATGGCAATGTGGCTACAGTTGACAATGCTGTACTGTGTCCTTTTCATTTGCTCAGAGAGTAGAGCTTGGGAGTTCTCAATGTAAAAGAGAAAAAAATCTAAATGACTAAGATGTGAAGTGATAGACACATTGATTGGCTTGGTATGATGTGCATTTCACAGTGAATATGTATGTCAAGTCATCAAGTTGTACATCTAAATATATACAATTTTTGATTGTCAATTAGACCTCAATAAACTTAAAGGAGAAATCAATTTTAAAGAAATCCTTAATGTATTCAAATGTTTTTTTATAACTCAAAAATGTAACAATGGCAATGTGTTGATTATTTTCTATTGATGGGCATGATGGTGGTTTATTATACTACTTTCTTGATATTTTGAGCATGTTTGAAATTTTCTATTGTAAAAAGGAAGACAGAGCTGAAAATTGTCAGTTTTCAATTACCCATCTTTCTGGTGTTAACTCTTTCTCAGATAACGCAATCTACAATCTAAATAATCACTCCTCACCTAATTTCCAGTTTTCTGTGAAATTCTCTACGTTTTCCATCCCTATAAATGTTCAGCTACTAGTTCTACTTCGAAGATGAAGAAATTGCTTGCTGAAGTTGAAAGTCTGGTGACTTCCCTTTTCCCAATTCCCCAGACTCTTCTCTCCAGTTCCAACTATCTCAGGACCATAGTTATCATCTCCAAACTGTCAAATACACTCACTCCCTTCAGCTTCTGCTGTATTTTTTTAAACTAAGAGTTTTTTGAAACTTCTTAGAATTCTTTCCTGAACATAAACTAATACGATGTTTAGAAGAAATGTTGAAATCCAGTGTTAAATTGTTCAGAGAGGAGTGGCTCTAGAGCCAGGGAACCAGATACTTCACTCATCCTACTTCCTACAGGGTTTCTGTGAGCCTCAGAATTTGTGAAAACATTTTCTAAAAACTAAAACCTAAAACAAAATACAAATAAAATTTTGTTTTGAACAGAGGTTCAGTGAATGCCTTTCAGGTACAGGACCACTAGGCCAGACACAGAGCTTACAAACATGGGGGAGATGTCATAAGACCTCTAGCTGCACTTGTTTACTGATCTGAAATGGCTCAATACTACGACTAAGGGAGCAATAACAAGTGAGGGAGAGGATGCAAAGAAACTGGAGTCCTCATATATTTCTGGTGGGAATGTAAAATGGTACAACCACAAAGTTACCACATAACCCAGCAATTCTTCTCATAGTTATCTATCCAAGATAAATGAAAACATATGTCCACTTGAAAACTTAGTTACAAATGTTATAATACCACTATTCATACAAAGGTAAAGGTGTTGGGATAGGAGGAAGCAAGTGTACACCACCTTATGAATGGGTAAATGAAATCTGGAATTACATGCAATAGGATATTATTTGTCAAGATAGATACACTAATGTATGCCACAAAGCAGGTGAACATTGAATATATTATGCCGAGTTAATGAAGACAGCCATTGACTCTAGTGAGGAGGACAAAACAATATCTTAGGAGAAATTCAGTCTTGTTGGACTTGATGATTCATTCCCAAACAAACCTCAGGGATACATGGTGTAAATCTGTGTCTATGCAAACTATAAATTATTATATGGTCTACAGAAGGGGTGCTCAACCACTGGTCTGTGGCCTGTTAGGAACCAGGCCACATAGTAGGAGGTGAGTGATGGGCAAGGAAGTGAAGCTTGATTAGTATTTATAGCCACTCTACTCATCACTTGTATTACCACCTGAGCTCCACCTCCTGTCAGACCAGCAGCAGCATCAGATTCTCATAGAAGCACAAACCTTATTGTGAACTGCCTACGTGAGGGATCTAGGTTACACACTCTTTATGAGAATCCAATGCCTGATGATCTGAGGTGGAGCTGAAGGGATGATGCTAGCACTGGGGAGCACCTGCAAACACACATTATCATGAGCAGAGAGGTTGAAGGCACACATACCATAATAAGGCAATTGCTTGCAGACTCAGATCAAAACCCCTTCAGTGAGTAGCAAGTGACAAGCTGCATCTGCTGGCAGGCTCGACAGGAGCACATGAGTCGATGTACTTCAATTGCACAGCTGCATCTCGTGATGGGCTTTAAGTCACAATCCAACACTAATTTTAATGTGCACAAGGCCTGCCCATTATTTTATTTACCACTTCCATCAGTGGTTCTTCTTGCACTGCACACTTGTCTCCATCACAGTTTTGGTAAGCCCACAGCTAACTTTACCAAAATAAGTAAAAAACAAACATAGCTGGAGAGCTTCCTTGATAACGGGGAGAGACCCAGTGATGAGACAGCGAAAGACCCTAAGGCTGCCAACAAATATAAACTTCATTTAAGATAAAAATATCAAGAGTTCTACTTCAATTATTGGTTCATTGCAACACATATATGTGGCAACCAGCTATCCAACAAACTAAAGGGGCTGCATTCAATGCCAAACTGGATCTATGGGGGTGACAAGTAAACACTGAGATTTTTGACATGTTTCAGATATTAGCAGAGATTTTGAAAGAGAATGAGCCAGGGACTTCTTTCTCCCAGCTGGTGTATGATCACCTATCTCAGCTTTCTAATGAGTTTGAGCATTACATCGCAACAGCAAAAGACTCTTAAATTGGGAAGGAATGGATCTGCGACCCATCTGTGAATAAGCCAGGTGAATAGACTTTGTTCATGCTAGAAAGAGGATCAGCTTCTTGAGACTGTAAATGATGATGACCTAAAAAGTATGTTTGAGACAACTTCAAATTTATATATGTTCTAGATTAAATTCAAGGCAAAATGTCCTGCCACAAGGATATTCTCTGTGGCAGACTGCCACAAAGTACTGAAAAGCCTGCTTCCATTTCCAACAACGTAAAGCAGGGTTTTCTGCAGTGACAACAACCAAAACAAGATCACAAAGTAGCCTGGACATAAGCAACACACTTCGGGTGTCACTCTCTCCC